GAGACACTAGTCCAGCCACATTACTTTATGGATCGTTGATTTCCTCACTCTTCAATTGTAAGTCCGTAACATGATGGTCGAATCAATTATTCTCCTAAGACAGCTCAAAAAGAGAAGCCCAGAAAGGTCCAGAAGTGTAATCTAAAGTCTGTTTTCTCACAATTATTGTTGTGCGTATATCAACTCAGTAATATACATTTGCAGCGTGATGTCATCTGAAACCCAGAAAGGCTTGAGGGAACAAAGGCCTGTGCAGACGCAGCTGACATCACCACAGAGCCAGGCGAAGCGTGATCACCACCGCAACAACAACTGCCTCCACGCAACTTACTATGAGTCAGGCGCTTCAGCATCAGACACCCAGCTCAGTATCTTAGGCAGACAACTGACATGAAACATACCGAAAAGCAAACAAGTCAACTAGAGTAGGTCAGGAAGTTCCAAACTGGACTGAAGGTACTGGCATGTTTGTGTTGCAATAAAACTACATTATCACACAGGTATAAAGAAGCCATTTCATTACAATCATAGTACTGTTGTTGCACTAGCAACCCGTTCCTCTTAGAGTTCAGAATTCTATGTTTAAAAGTTAAACCATGAACACCATCAACACTTTCAAGTGTGACCCAACTTGGGACGGCTTGGCTCAGTTTCTATCCAAGAACTACAATATGCAAAAGAAAAATAAAGTCACATGGATAAACTCACATATGTGCTTAAGTTTCACTTTCAGTTTCTGGCCCTTGAGCCATCTCATGTTGGTTCAAGGGCCAGTTCCAGCTAGTCTCCAAAAAACTCATAAGCCGGCGTGACTGGCCTTTTCGGTGGCCAGGCCCACAGAAAAACATAGAAGGTGAAAACAACGATTGACAATTTATTCAGAGTGTTTCAAGAGTTTCAATCAATAATGTTTTTGACAGAACAGAATTGTCAACAGGGACATCTCAGATTATCGCTCATAAACATGTGAAAATGAATGTATTGTTCAATAGTGTCTGTCACTGTCAAAACAAAAAGATATTCATTTAATGACTCAATTGGTGGGCTGCATTTTGGCAACAATGCTGTGATTCTTACAATTGAAACTGACAGGGACAGACATATCCTTGTTTGCTTTTGTTCTTGCCATTTGACAACTGTAAATAACTGAAATGTAACAGGAACAAACGCACACATCGTTTCACAGCCTGATGTTATGGACGTGACTCTTTTGCCAGGTCAAATGCAGCCATGTTAATGCTGGTATGTAGCTGGAGCGAGGCAGTGCGGTGGGCAACAGCTGGCCAAAAAATCAGTAAATAAAATCTCCCGTTCACCAAATGCTCTGGCTCTCCTGTTCTGTACAATGGTGAGGCCGCAACATCTGTGCATCACTATAATCCCTAGGTTTCAGTTAAACCAAACGTGTTTTAGAACAAACAGGACTATGCTAAATGCTATGAACAAAGGGCAAGAACAACAGCTCTTCTTCATACTAAAGAGCAAGATCATAAAAAACTCAAAAGATGTTTAAATGAACAAAGGTTTCATATTCAGCATCACTTCTTTATTGTCCCCCCGTCACGTCCTCCGTTACAGAGGCAGAGGCTGAGGATGTTGGGGCGGGTACATCCATCTCCCTGGCTGAGGTCACCAAGGTGGTTGGTAGCCTCCATGGTGGCAAGGCTCCGGGTGTGGATGAGATCCGCCCTGACTATCTAAAGTCTCTGGATGTTGTAGGACTGTCTTGGCTGACACGTCTCTGCAACATCGCGTGGCGATCGGGGGCAGTGCCAATGGAGTGGCAGACCGGGGTGGTGGTCCCTCTCTACAAGAAGGGGGACCGGAGGGTGTGTTCCAATTATCGTGGGATCACACTCCTCAGCCTCCCCGGTAAGGTCTACTCCAAGGTACTGGAGAGGAGGTTACGGCCGATGGTCGAATCTCGGATCCAGGAGGAGCAGTGTGGTTTTCGTCCCGGTCGCGGAACACTGGACCAGCTCTATACTCTCCATCGGATACTCGAGGGTTCATGGGAGTTCGCCCAACCTGTCCACATGTGCTTTGTGGATTTGGAGAAGGCGTTCGACTGTGTTCCCCGGGGTGTCCTTTGGGGGGTTCTCCGGGAGTACGGGGTCGGAGGTCCTCTGCTGAGGGCCATCCGATCCCTGTATGACCGGAGCCAGAGCTGTGTTCGCATTGCCGGCAGTAAGTCAGACCTGTTCCCGGTGAATGTTGGCCTCCGACAGGGCTGCCCTTTGTCACCGGTTCTGTTCACTGTATTTATGGACAGAATATCTAGGCGCAGCCAGGGGTCGGAGGGGGTCCGGTTCGGAGACCACAGGATTTCATCTCTGCTGTTTGCGGACGATGTTGTCCTGTTGGCTCCAACGAACCAGGACCTGCAGCATGCACTGGGGCGGTTTGCAGCCGAGTGTGAAGCGGCTGGGATGAGAATCAGCACCTCCAAATCCGAGGCCATGGTGCTCGACCGGAAAAAGGTGCCTTGCCCTCTGCAGGGGCAAGGCACCTTTGAACTACTACTTGAACTCCTCCACTTCCTCAAGTGGAGGAGTTCAAGTATCTCGGGGTCTTGTTCACGAGTGAGGGAAGAATGGAGCGTGAGATTGACAGGCGGATCGGTGCAGCGTGCGCAGTGATGCGGTCGCTGTATCGGACCGTTGTGGTGAAGAGGGAGCTGAGCCGAAAGGCAAAGCTCTCGATTTACCGGTCAATCTTCGTTCCCTCCCTCACCTATGGTCATGAGCTTTGGGTAATGACCGAAAGAACGAGATCGCGGATACAAGCGGTCGAAATGAGCTTCCTCCGCAGAGTGGCTGGGCGCTCCCTTAGAGATAGGGTGAGGAGCTCAGTCACACGGGAGGAGCTCGGAGTAGAGCCGCTGCTTCTCCACGTCGAGAGGAACCAGTTGAGGTGGCTCGGGCATCTGTTCCGGATGCCTCCTGGACGCCTCCCTGGGGAGGTGTTCCGGGCACGTCCCACCGGGAGGAGGCCCCGCGGAAGACCTAGGACACGCTGGAGGGACTATGTCTCTCAGCTGGCCTGGGAACGCCTTGGGGTCCCCCCGGATGAGCTGGAGGAAGTGTGTGTGGATAGGGAAGTCTGGGCGTCTCTGCTTAGACTGCTGCCCCCGCGACCCGGCAACGGATAAAGCGGAAGAAAATGGATGGATGGATGGACTTCTTTATTGTGACAAAAACAATCGATACTATTAATTGTAAGCAAAAAGTAAACGCTTCTCTAATTCAAGTCAAACAACTCAATGATGCTCACTACATCTAAGATAATTCTGCGATTTTACCATTTACTTTCATCAGGAAATATGCTTTTATTTCTGCAGGATCAAAATTCAGAATGTGCCTTTTGTCGCTTCATATTACACCGCTGATTTATCGCGGTTTGACAGATCACTTGAAGAAACCATACGAGGCTTGTTTTATCCTAACATGTGCGTGAGTCTCGGAGTCTGTACTCAGAGGAATTACAGTAACAAAAATGACAGAAAGGTTAAAGAGGCTGCGATCAAAATGCACCTGGAGTCTTTTATGAAGGCGTGACACAACCAGCATCAGAAGAAATAAACATCGGGGTTACAGTGCGCACTAAGTTTATCATCAAAGAGTCTGACATTATTCAAATCATGACACAGTTTTCATTGATCTAGTCATTTGCTTTTGGTTGTCGGCCCCAATTGCTTAACCCACCTGTTGTGACGATGCCAGGTACCATAAATGAACATGCTAAATATATGGTTTGTTTGTAACTATTTATTTTCCCCGACAAAGATTTCTGTTCTTTCAAGTACAGATCTAGTTGAATACAGAAGCAAAGCAAGAAATGGTCTGGATATTTTTCTTGGATTGGAGTCTGCAGGCAACTGTCAGCCATAACTATGACTCTGAGGTATGTGTGTAAATGCATGTATAGTGGTGGTCACACTGGTCAGACAGGCTGTTGGCGCAGGTTGTTCTTGGCAATTAAGTCAGCTCATAGCCTCAATGGAGAGCTGATCCCCAGGTTGTGAGCTATAGATGCATAATAAACATGTTGACAAGGGAATTCCAGGTATATAAGACTATGATTGTTGTTTAGGCTTGCACTTGTGAACTGCTTTATTTCAAGCCAAAACAGGTCATGTAAAACTCACTTGTGTTTGTTTTAAATCCCACTCAACTGTATGGAATGGACTGTATGGAAGAATTCAACACACCAAAGTCGTCCAGGGACATGCCATTGCACTCACAGCTCCACAGAGACTCCAGATGACGTAAGTTTGTGCCCAAATAATAATAAAGCCAAGTCATCTGAGTTCATCTACGCCTGTAGCCCAGTCCTGTATGGCGCTATAGCACTGTTTGCCATACGCGCACTGGAGGAAGGAAGCATCACTCGGGGTAACGTTACGCCTACATCAGGAGTCGCACAAATCAAAGTCTATAAACAACACCACACTCCAAAAGTTGCACTCAGCCCCGCCACACCGCTCTTTTGGAGTCTATCCACCGGAGTTGCGCGGGCCGACCACTCACACACACGGGGTCTCAGAAAGGCACTCTCCCCAAAACGTTCCCCCCTCTCTCCGCCACCGACGTAACAACATGTCGGCAATGGACGGCCATGTTTTGCTGGTTATGTCGACACGGGGAGGAGGAGGAGGAGGAGGAAAAAGTAGACACGATGTTCTCCGTCTGAGCCCGTTCCTCTCACGACCCGTGCGTAAAAGCGCCAAACTTGGGGAAATGAACAATTCTGTGGGATCATTCATTGTGTGCATGTGGAGGCGAACGGGGCCAGGCAAAGTTCATGCGCCAAGACAAGTTGAAATATTTATAGTGAGGCTAGTGGCGCTTTGAGGACGCACACAAGGCGATGCTAGCGGCCACAGATGTCCGATCATGCCAGTAATGTTATCCATAACTTAGGAGACTTATTCAAAAAAAGGGGGGGGGGGGGCGTTACGGTGCTAAGACTGAGAGAGGAAGAGTTTACCCATTTCTTACCTGCCTGCTGTTTTGGCGCGATGCTCAGGTGAAGCCGTGTGGGTATCGTGGGGCAAAACAAAAGCTCTGTTATTACCCCACAAATGCTGTCAAAGCTGGGCTAAGCAATCTCGCCGCGGTCCAATAACGGAGGAGACAACAGGCGACAGGAAAGGAAAAAAATTGGCGATCACAAGAAGGCTCTACGCCAAAAGCCACATGACCAACGACGTCAGAGCGCGTATTTGCATGCCGTACTGAGGCGGCCGAGTCCGTCCACACGGGATCCATGTGTGGTGCAGGAAAGTTTGGGATTCAGGCGAAGAGACGAGTGCAATGGAGAGTCCAGACAGCAGCAGCAGCAGCACCGGAAGCTCCTCAAAGCATGCTCGATGCTCTAAAAACGCATGACCTGTGTTGTGGTGCTGTCAACTTTCCCTGCGCGGATGCCTGTCTGCCTATCAGCTATGACCTAATTGGATATTACATGATCAATGGGGCGTCCGTGTTTGCCTTAAAGCTCCACCCCTCGTTTTCCAGCAGCTCCCTCCTCTTGTCTCTTCCGTAGACTGTCTCTCTCTCTGCCCCTGGCTATGTATGCGTGGGGGCTGCTGCATTTACAGGAGAGGATAATCAGCAGGACACTGTGGACTCTGTGGTCGACCTGCGCTGAACATCAGTAACCATTGGAATAAAGTGCTGACTGGAGAATCTGGAGCCAATGTTATTATTTTGGTATATGTGAGATTGTCCTGAAATGACAGACAACTTTGTGTCATGTGAGACACACCAGCGCCATCTGCTGGATGTGCCTGGTGCTGTCTTTTATGACCTTGGTCAGCTTTACGCATAGGTGATTTTATGCCAGTTTGATTCTATATTTAGACAGTTAATGAACAATAACAATGTACATCAACACTCAATATGCGATATAAAAATATTTACTTTAGTTTTTTGCTTTTGACTTGACCCATATAAAAAATAGGCCAGATTTGCATGCTTCTGCATTTGGACATACTGTTACTGAATGTTTACATTTCTTAACTAATAACAAACATGTTCCATGGTTAAAATACAAATAATAAAACATAAAATAAAAATAATAATATACTAGTTATCAAATAAAAATAATAATAATTGTCAAAACGATAGTCCATGGTTGTGTATTTAAATGAAATAGGATACAAGTGTAAATACAATATACAGACTATAACTGAATAACATGAACTCAACGAAGTTACCCCACAATCACACTCATGTCTCTCATTCTGCTTGTGATTTAAATTATATGTCACTAGATGGCGCCAAAGTCTTATGTGACTAGTGTGGTGTAGGGTGTTGTGTCATTGGGCAAGACATTTAATTGCACCAGGATTATATGTGGATGGTAGATGGCAGAGTTGTCATATAGTTTGGTGGCGCAGATCTGTAGGTGGTTTGGAATTTATTTTTCACCTGTTTAAAAAAACAGGATTCTCTTTTCTTTCCTCGTGTGAAACTGTACGGCCACAAAATAAATAAATGAAAGTTTTGGAAGAATAATATTTGTAAACAGATACAATGTAAATGTTAAGAGGTGTGACCACAACAGACCGATACAGTGACAGCAGTGACAATCACTGGGTCACTCTGGGTCACTCTGATGACCTTTGGCTGTGGGTGGCTTCGCTAAACCCAAGTCTGTGTTCAGTCTTTTAACAATAACATGTGTTTAGTCACAGACTGGCATCTACAAAGTGAGTGTTAAGGTCTACATAATGTCACAAAGCAGCATGGAAATCCAACATGTGTGATACCACCTCAGTGAGAGAGGTTCCCAGAGAGTAACTAAGCTTCCCTTGTTATCAGGAAACACACATATGTTTCCAGTTACACCTTATGGTTCAGAGTCAGAGAATGGATGAATAAAGAGGAAGAGAGATATTGTTTGTCGAAACTGCTTGATGGCAGTGAAAAGGAATAAAGTTGTTAAGGCTTTCATACTTCACCCCCCAAAACATGCGTGAACTCCACTCCTGACCCTCGCTGCTGTATACAATTTAAGGACATAATAAGTAACAAACACAATAAATACATTATTGATTTATTAATTTTTTGTCACTTTTTGTCAATTTGTGTCATTCAGTGAAAAGTTTTAAGATGTTTATCTCTCCCCCGCTTTGGGAAAACCACTAGTCAATAAATACATATTGCAAAAAATTTGTTAATTGAATTTCAATTGCTATGTTGCTACTTCATTATAACTGCTTAAAAGTTTCCTCATTTGATATTTGGTGGCACCACCTGCATGTGAAAGCCTAATTCCGGTGGACTTCAAAAGCTAAACAGGGCAGCTGTAGCCACAGTTATCATTACCGTGTAATGAATGAGAAATGCCATGTGCTGCGTGTCCAAAAATCATCGTCATTATCATTACTATGTGTAACATGAAGCAACCTGGCCATTATATCCCCAATTGTTGTTGCGTCATCCATGCATAAAACTCATTCAAATACAACGGCCAATTTAATCATGATTTGTACCTCTGATAACAAAAGTCTGTTTGTAACTTGGGATGTTTGCCTACTGTCTGGAATCTCACATAAGACAATATTTCTAGGAATTCTTTTCTCTTCACCACAATCAAGCCATTTCTGGCTTCTAGAGCAGTTTAGTGTTGGTGCTGTGCCGGGGGAGCTCACAGCAGTCACAGGGGAGCAATAACGTAGCTCATTTGGCATCGCCTTCTCCTGAAGGATCTTCTCTGAGTGTTTACTGGCTCGTGTGCATTTGTTGTCTTCGGTTGATTTAGCACAACCGTGAGGTCATACCTGACAAAGTGTCAGGCAAGGGATTACACTGGGTCAAATCAGTATATCGTTCATCAAATATCCACCCCACCAAAGATCTTTGCAATTTTAGTTTTATGAATGAACTCTGTGTGAAATGTCTTGCTTCAGAAATTGAATAAATGCTAGATTTGTTGAAGAAGACTCAACTTTCTTCATTTTTGCCTGGTTTACTCATGCGTGATGAACTTGAGCTGCTGGCCTGTAATCAGAATATATACAAGACCAATGGCATGTAATCTGCTGCAATGTGTTGCCCATTATAGGGTGTATTTCCTCTTTCATTTCTGTGTATATTAAATTTCAAAACTTCGCTCCAGCGTGTCTTGTTGAGAGCTGACATACATTGCAGTGTAGACTTAAGACAGTCCTGTATACACTGAGGTTGCTACGTTTGGTAAATAAAGCTTATGTTGATTTTCATTGCAGGGCCTGGGCAAAAGGGCTGTAATTGGGCAGAAGACAGCATCATCATAGAATTAGCCTGCTTCCTTTATTTGATCTAATTTACACACAGTGCGTATTGTGTTTCTCAATTGGTCATTAAAATTGCATTGGTTTCCTTTCTGACTCTTCCTCCCTTCTTTGTGATTTAAAACCCACAGAATGCTTGAATCATTACAACGTTGCCACTGTTAACGTTGCAGGTCCTGATTATAGATGTCTTCTCAGAGTATTATTGTTCACTTCCTTTTTCAGTGACGTTGGCAAACATGAGGAGACATCAAAATCTCATCTTGATATGTGCCCTGAAGTTAGTCATGGAAGAATCAACATTGAGCTAACAATAATAATAGATCTGAGGTCGCCAAAAAAAATGTATCATGCATTTTCAGATCTAAAAGAGCCTACATAATCAGCGGTCAGTGAGGATTGTTGAATTTAGCCTTGTGTTTATGATGCAGCTGATGTGAGGCATAACTTTTCACTTTTATTTCTATGACGAGTTTTTTTTTTCTTGTTGTAAAATGTACATGTGATCTCTGAAAACATGGGATCTGAGTTCTGCTGCACATATCAGCAAAAGAAAATATACTACTACTACTACTATAGTGAATTAAACTTAACTTTAGTTTTTTAATCATTCCATTTGAAGTTGTGCTTGAAAGTTTCCACACCCAGCCAGAGACTTCATTGTCCTGGTGATGATAATACAAATACTTTCTCCTACTAATCGATTGTGGTTTATGTAACTATTCATTACTTCTTGCAAACCTGTTTTCTATTTTCAAATCATATTGTCATTGAGGCTCGCAAAGGGGAGATCTCCAACATGCAGTTCATGCAAGGCAGCCCAGGATTTTATGCAGGAACTGGATGAGTGACTGATAAAGGGGAAAATGTAAAGTATTGAGGGGATGTATATGTCCAGCCAGGATCGTTTGAGTAGTTTTGTCATTATTGCAATTCCAAGTGTTTTGGTAAATAATGGCTTCCCACAACCACTAGCAATGGGTTTTAGTGTTAACATAAAGCTGAAATATGGCCAAAAAGTTGAAATGTCTGCCAAACACATACAGACCAACTTGGCAAATGACTAAACTTTCTTGGTCTTGTCATGTTTCTATCTGCTGATTCCTAGCCATGCTTTAACAACACCATAGAAAGGCAGCACTGTACATTAGAAACAGTCTTCCTCAAGTGTAATATCCTCCTTTTGTACAAAGACCAAAGAAACCCGCTGTGTGTGTTGCGTGTTAAACAAAGCTAATTGGACAGAAAAGGTTTAATGGCTTAGTGGCTAATGGTATCCGTTCACCTGCAACTGGACCGTGCTGCTCCACAGTGACCAAGGCCCGGTCCACATGATAGAACTCAGCAGGCCTGGATTTATCTAATGCACTGTGATTTACCAGGTTACCAGGCATTTTTAGTTGGAATGCATGGACTACTTCCTTTGGGGTAGTTTTGACAATGAAATATCTGCAATACATCTTTAAAACTAAATGCCAAAATGTAAAATAATAATATAGTGGAAATATAGGGTGCCCTCAGCTGCTCTTTATATTCCGTTACTATGGAGTCTGTTGCATGGATTATTTTAAAATTGCCTCATTTCAAACAATGCAGTCAGTGAAACTCATCAGCAACAGGATTCCCAAACGTTACAGAAACCTACCTGTCTGTTTGACTTGAAGAATGTATTTTCTGAATCCAAGATTATGTTTTTTCAATAGTTCTGTTGGTTCAGACCCCCATATGATGGATTAAACCAATTCATCAAAAAAATGCAATGCCAGATCTATTGTCAAATCCAATTTCCTGATTTTCCAAATGTTCTCTTCAACAAATTATTGCAAATATGTAAATAGGATGCGTAAATATTTGAACATGGCACAATCTCTAAGTTTCCCCCTTTACATTTACAATTGCATTTTATCTTTATCACACACTTTTCTGCACACACATATTGTTATTACTGGCAGTACTGAGACTTGTAATTCAGAGCATTCCCCAGACCATCATGTGTGCATCTACTTTTTTTTGTTTTCTCCCAGTACTCACAAAGGTCTTAGATCTGGAACCCTGGCTTTCAGTAATCAAACAAAAACACTTTTTGTAGTAATACTATATTTCTTATTTTCAGAAACAACTTGCCATTGGTCCCATGTCACATATCTTCCCTTCAGATTGTAGTGAAGGCTTTGCACATTGGCACATTTATTTTTTGCGAAAGTAAATATGATAATTTGCAGAGAACCCCTTTTAAAATCTAAAACATTTTCAAAATGGTCTTCACAGAATGTACATATTATTCGGTTCAAGCAAAACATGCTTGACTGGTATGTTTCATTATTGAACTCAATATTTTCTATATATCTTTTTTAAAAGTCACACACACACACATTCAACGTCTGTCTGAGTGAATAGATCGGTTAATTTGAGTTTTAGGCCTATGACCCACAGCATATGAGAAGAACTGTAACAGATTTATTCTTTTGTCTCTGTTTACCAAACCTTGATATTTCAACATTACCAGTTAAATTACCAGTTAACAAACAAACTGGCTTTCTAAATGTAAGTCCTTATCATGTTAATTAAATGGTTGTGTGTTTCCTAAAATCTGCAGGGAAGATGTGTACTTTATCTGCATGGGAACTAGAACTTTTCTCTGCTCTGTAGTTTTCTTGTAAATGCGACCACAGATTGTCTCTTCAATGACTTTGTTCTGACATCTGTGTGGATGGGGCAGATAGAGGAAGTTGAATGGCACTCTGGTTTCCTTTTTGGCTCTATAAAGACACAGAGACCATTTGGTAACTGTCAGTAGGTCTGCCTCTGTCCCCATTATAACCTGGGAAAAACCTTAAACATCTGTATTTATGAAGGTGAAGCACACACAGTTGCACAGGGTCTACAGGCCGAACAGATTAGAGCCATTTGGTGGTGTCTTTGATCCGCAAGGGCTTTGGAAACATGGTCCACATGCGCTTAAGCTGCTGTATTTTCAGATGAGATGGAAGAGTACAATGGGCACTGTGATCCATTTCCACGGGTTTAAAACGGATGTTTTAACTTTTGCATGTTCTTTAAGCCTGGACCTAATTTAAAAACAACCATGAGGTCCTTACAATTCACCACATTTTTCATCCTCAAAAATGACGTTGACAATTTTTTATTAGACCTTTAGGAACCACCCAACAGCTCCATCACATTAGACAGAGAGTGTTTTTCAACAGCAGTTTGTAGAGAGTGCTACAATTTCTGGATTGGTCTGAACTTTGACAAGAATGTTTGTTTGTTTAAAAAAAATAAAAAAAATAAAAAGAAAACATCACATTGTAGGAAAGGTGTTATTAAAAACCCTCCACGGTCTCTCTACGGTCTCACGTATTTTGTAGAATCCCGACATCCACCTCTCCATCAACTCTGACACTCTTCCCTGTAACTGAAGAGCAGCCCCACAGCATGATGCTGCTACCCAGAGTGTGAGTGTGAGTGATGATAGTGATTAGAGAGATGAGAGAGATGAGCGTGATGAGAGAGATGAGAGAGATGAGCATGATGAGAGAGATGAGAGAGATGAGAGAGATGAGAGTGATGAGAGTGATGAGAGAGATGAGAGAGATGAGAGTGATGAGAGAGATGAGAGAGATGAGAGAGATGAGAGAGATGAGAGAGATGAGAGAGATGAGAGTGATGAGAGAGATGAGCGTGATGAGAGAGATGAGAGTGATGAGAGAGATGAGATAGATGAGAGTGATGAGAGAGATGAGAGAGATGAGAGAGATGAGCGTGATGAGAGAGATAAGAGAGATGAGAGAGATGAGAGAGATGAGAGAGATGAGCGTGATGAGAGTGATGAGAGAGATGAGAGAGATGAGCGTGATGAGAGAGATGAGAGAGATGAGCGTGATGAGAGAGATGAGCGTGATGAGAGAGATGAGAGAGATGAGAGAGATGAGCATGATGAGAGAGATGAGAGAGATGAGAGAGATGAGAGTAATGAGAGTGATGAGAGAGATGAGAGAGATGAGCGTGATGAGAGAGATGAGCGTGATGAGAGAGATGAGAGAGATGAGCATGATGAGAGAGATGAGAGAGATGAGAGAGATGAGAGTAATGAGAGTGATGAGAGAGATGAGAGTGATGAGAGAGATGAGAGAGATGAGAGTGATGAGAGAGATGAGAGTGATGAGAGAGATGAGAGAGATGAGAGAGATGAGTGATGAGAGAGATGAGAGTGATGAGAGAGATGAGAGAGATGAGAGAGATGAGAGTGATGAGAGTGATGAGAGAGATGAGAGTGATGAGAGAGATGAGAGAGATGAGAGAGATGAGAGAGATGAGAGTGATGAGAGAGATGAGAGAGATGAGAGAGATGAGCGTGATGAGAGAGATGAGCGTGATGAGAGAGATGAGAGTGATGAGAGAGATGAGCGTGATGAGAGAGATGAGCGTGATGAGAGAGATGAGAGAGATTAGAGATGAGAGAGATGACAGAGATGAGAGTGATGAGAGAGATGAGAGAGATGAGAGTGATGAGAGAGATGAGAGTGATGAGAGAGATGAGAGAGATGAGAGAGATGAGAGAGATGAGCGTGATGAGAGAGATGAGAGAGATGAGAGGGATGAGAGTAATGAGAGTGATGAGAGAGATGAGAGTGATGAGAGAGATGAGAGAGATGAGAGAGATGAGAGTGATGAGAGAGATGAGAGAGATGAGAGAGATGAGAGTGAGAGTAGAGTGAGTCGTGAGGAGGCCGTGAAAGTTTCATGGGTATGAATACGTTTTCACGTCACTATATGTTTTAGTGATTACTGTTCTAACTCTTCCCCCTGTCATGAGATACATTTACTTCACTAAATTTATTTCCCTTGAATTCACACAAAGCCCTTTTCTTTTATTCATTCCTTCTTCGTTTCATTAAATACCACAGGGGCATAACCCCACACCACTCAGAGGGTCTTCACCTGTTGCTCTCCTGTTGTCTCAACTGTTCCTGGTTTTGATCCTCCCTTGACAATCTAACTTTGAGAGGATTTATGCAGGTCCTTATTGGCTGCTCACTATTTTCATTTTCTCCCACCCTTTTGTGCATGCCATGTTTGATTCACATTTTTGTGGTCCGCTTCCTTCACTGACACCATGCATATTGGAAGCTCATCACCCAATAAAGACACAAAGCAAACAAAAGATCACTAGAATATTTTTCTCCCACAGACAAATTAATCATAAATAAATGATATAAAAAAGAGGAAAGAGATTCTTCAGACTGTATTAGTGTCAGTTACATCTTTATTGTATTTTGTTTTTAGGCCTACAAAACAAACTTTATTGTAGAAGGGAACTAACTTTCCAGAAGTTGAAACCCATATTGTTGTTGGAGAATGAGGACATTTGTAGTTGTTGTTAGTTAGTGGAATAAATTGTCCTGTAGAAAGTTGTAAAAATGAGAACCTAAGTAAAAATATTGAGTTAATAGATAGATAATTCTTCCCGGATTACATTACTTTCCACAAATTCAGAAATTGAATTTAAAACAATTAAAAAAAAAATTATCATAGGTCTTTTACATTTTCATGCAAAAACACATGTCATGGCAAAGATATAAACCTGAAAACTAAAAATACGACAAAACACAATAACACAAATCTCAAATCAAAAATCATTACTCAATATGTGCTCTCTGCTCTTAGGGAGACTTCATCTGCATTTAGAATGGACACGTATGATACATATTCACTTTGCACATCGGTGTTAAACATATTTTTGGTTTTATCTTTAGGTTCCCATTCAATAAAAAGGCGAGAAATGCTGTTTAATTCATGTGACATATCCTTTTGAGTCTTCTGTTTTTGAATGGAATAGCTGAGAGAGCAGAGGGCGTGTTGAGGTCATTTGTGGTGCTGTTGTTGGGTGGTCTGACACTGCCGGAACCTCCAGTGACTCAACCAGAGCCCATCCTCTGGGATCTCAGTCAGTGCAAACAACGCTGAGTGCTCAAATTAATAACTTGGCTGTAATCACAAGATGCCCCGTGAAGTCATCCTGATAAAGGTTAAAACAGCTGATTACAGCATCTCGTGTGGTTTCAAAGTTGCCGTATTCCACAAAAGCAATTCAAGCTGTCAGTGCTGTCTTTAGGATAGGGTCAAATGAGAACTTTCTATCTTCAAATCAAACATACTGCAATCCCCCTAAGCAATCATTATGAAGCTATGGGAATATGCTACCATTTAGAATCCCCAAACAATCTGCAGCGCAATGGACTGGCTGACAAACTATGAGGGCTTTGTTCAGACTCTGCTTATATCTTAAACACATACAGGGGGTAGGCATCAGTGGGGGGGCTGTTATGAAAACTGTGGTGGGAGACTAGCCACACACAAATGAATCTATCCTCCCTGCACTTACCGGCACACAGCAGAAAGGCTACTGGAGGTAATTGTGTCAAAGATGTATGGCGAGGGTTATGGGCAGAACAGAGGAGAGAGAGGAAGCAAAAGCTAGAGGGGGCTGTGTGTTAATGGGAGCCAAATGGGCAGCAAATGAAATGAAGTGGTTCACTGTGTAGTCACTTATGCTCTGTTCTGGCATCTCTTTCACTCTTCCGTACATTCATTTGGAGTTCATTTGGCTGACTTCTTGTAAATAAATTTTATTTATTTGATTCAGATTCAGTTTATTTGCCATTTGAAGTAAAACAAAAATATATTTGGAAAATATTTTAAAACAATAAAACACATATTTAAACAAATATTTAAAAACAAGTAAGGTTTTTAAATCAGGTAAAAGGTAACAACTGTTGATGTGATGTCCTTCATCTCAAGGGACCAGCAAGAAGCTGGAACATGGCCTGTCCATCAGTAGATAGTGTCATGTGCCTGCTGGGAAGGCGTTTAAAACAATACATTGGGTCAGTCCATTCCACCTGATACTGGAAAGAATTTTAAATTGTGAAGAAGACATTTCAAGCCTTTGAAAACCTTATTTTGAACAGACCATATGTATCCACAGAAAGAATCAACTTAAGTCTATGTTATGGACACCTACAGTATGGTTTCAGTAAAATACTGAACATCTAAGATATCAAAATGTCAAAGGTGTTTGTCTGAGTTCTTAAATCACTGGAGGAAGCATTTCCAGGGGAGGCTGAGGAGATGGAGACTGTAATAATAATAATAAAATAACATACAGCTGCAGAGGAGCAGTGGGCGCTGATGGCTGCACGCTGAGCACAAGACAAAAAGGGCAAACTGGACTATTTGAATAATCCCTTTTTAGCAGTGGATTGGGGTTTTCTGTCATCATGTACAGAAACAAGTTAAACTCGAGACAGCATTAGAGAATGAAGATTTGGCATTTGAAATTATAATGTAAACAGGGACAAGAGGGAACTAGAGACGTATAAGTTCCTCATCCTGAAAAAGAAAACAAAGTTCAGTGCAATAGTCTGTACGTATTTGTTTCCTCCAGTAGAGATTGTTTTGGGCAATAAGATAAGATAAGAATTCCTTTATTCGTCCCACAGTGGGGAAATTTTGATGTTGCATTGCACATATAGGACAGTAGTAAGAGCACACAGGGAGCACACACAATATATACACTATATACAAATATAAAAAACTTTTACTAATGTATTCCAATGTAGTGTTACTGCAAATGGCAAATAAAATGAATCTGAATCTGAATAAGTAGTAGCTATGTTTCTTAACTAACATAACTAGCTGTAGATGCTGAAAAAGCTTCAATACCAGTCAAGAAATATATATGTGGTAGTGCAGTTATATACTGTACAGTTAAAGGCACACCGTGTAACTCTTGGCCACTAGGGGCGCAAGACCTGCAACTTTCACGTTTAGCGCCCCTAGTGGCCACAAGCAACTCAGCACTGTCGCAAACGTCAACAAACAGTCAGCCGGTGTCTTTTGAGTGTGTATTCAGACAGTAGTGGACCTGTTGGTTGAAGAGGGCTCATTGACTCACGATTGAAGAAAATAAGACATTTTACTGTATACTAGGAGCAAAGACTTCACTTACCAGTCTAATAACGAAGTTGAAAAAACAGAATCAGATTTACATCCAGCTTCTTCTTTCAACCTGCGCCAACGAGCAAACTCCTTTCCCAGATCGACCCTTGTTTTTCCTCGAGCACGATCCCTTTCGCGTTTCCTCTTTTTAGCCTCCTCCGAAGGTTTAAACTTTTTCCTTGCCTCAGCCATGACCAGGAGTCGAGCAGGTGAAAAATGAGTAGCAAAAGCCTTAGCTCCATGAGTATATCAGCGCCTGTAGCCGTAAAGCAAATCTTTCTTCCAAGTCACGTGACCTGGTAAACGACGGTGCGTCTGCTCTAAACTTACATGGGCGGTATTTCAAGAGGGCAGCCCCGCTCGGAGCATTGCAAGTGTCAAGCGCTGTATATTGGCCCAAGTATTCATATAAAATAACTCATATGTGTCAACTCTTTAGGTCACAAAGTCCGCGGTGTGCCTTTAAATAGTGCAAGATAAAAAGTATATAAGTAAAGTGACATGAGGTAAAGTGACATTGTTCTGTGACATTCTGAAGTTGCAGTATTGCACATTGCAAATGATTTAAGAATTTACTTAATTAACATTCAGATTAACATCTACAGTACAGTATCTGAATCCCTCCTTCTCACACATGTTTGTCGAGACTCACCTGTGGCCTCTGCTCTGTCAGACATGACAAACAGCAAGATTACAGATACTGGGGCAATCCAAATTAAATGAATAAATCAGAAAAAATGTAATTGATCTGAAACTAATGGATAAATCGAAACCCAGAGAAATGCTGTGAAATATGGCAAAGGTGAAAGAGGACAAAGTTATGTAAAGTAGGTCATCAAATAAAAATTACATAACACTTGACTTGGGCAGTAGTTGTGATCCTCAAAAATCCTTTGGAATGTGAGTAAGTCCTTCATCCAATTAAGTGGTGGCTCACCAGGTCTCACCCAATCAAGAGGGAGGTCCAAAAGTCAAACACTAATTAGCACGTTGATTTGGTTTGTGTGGTAGTGAAAAATGGTCAAAAGTCACAAAGCCTGGCACGGAAAGTATCAACAATACATGCAGCCTCAAGTCTGGGAAACCAGTTGGGTGCTCACCTGTTTAAAAAAAATATACAAAAGAAAAAACCCGCATTGAATCTCTCACTTTTGACTATTTACCCTCTTAGATTTCTGCAAACCACCTCTGTGTTATTGGGATCAGGGACCTTTAGCCTTTGACTTCCTTCCGTTATCACTTTAAGGTGCGCAAATAGGCTATATTGGGCCCATATGCAGAGGGCCCCAGGCTAAACACCATTAATGTGCAGGATCTGACTGAATCTCATGAAAGTAACTCAGAGTTTATATCTTATAATGACACCCATTAAGCTGCCTGGAAAATGTATATGAACAAAACCAGAGGGGAGAAGTATCTTACACAGACGCAGGATTGAAATTGGAATCCATCAACACTTTGGAGATGTAATTATTATCTTGTTTGTCTGAGTTTTTACTAATTGGTCGTATGGATGAGCTCAGTTTAGGTCATGTCAGTAAAGTGGCAATGAAAATGGCTCTGCAAAACCATGCTTAGTCATTATCACACATTTTGGCACTTAATAATACTTGGAGAGCGGAGGGATTTGTGCTCCAATGTCATCAAAAATTATGTATTTGGTTTTATGCACATTTTATGCACAAATGTGTGTGACGAGACAGTTTCAATCAAATAGTCCCCCCCCCCCCCCCCCACCAAAATAGGCTGCAT